GGAACGCACGGTGAGTGCACACCAAGCCACAGCAATATGGCAGATCAGGACAAGAGCTACCAGCCAGCCCTGTGCTGGACTGTAGGACTCTGGAAAGGCATCAGCACTCTGCTGGAGACCAAGAAATTGGATTATTATTTTCTGCTCCTATCTGCTATATTAGCATGGTTAAAATTTTAATTTTCATGGTTGTAACTATTAAGTCATAAGACTTTGATTCTCAGGTTTCACGTCAGGTTTACAGCAGAGTCCATGAGAATGGAGGTCACCACTTCCCATGGTGAACAGTCAGGAGCAGAACCCTTGTCTGTCTAGTCTACCATTTTCACCCTTTTCCAAGATTCCCCCCTTTTGGCAGAATTTGGTTTGGGAAAGCTGATCACAGCCTGTACAGTCCGATACACAGGGGCTTTGTAAAGTTAACACCTGGAGAACACATGCCCAAAACAAGCTAGTATTACCCAGCCACAGGAGCCTTGTATAGTGTTCTGCTCCTGCCATTCCATGTATCCTTACTGACAGCCTATCTACTGTAAAAAATCCTTCCAAAACATCAAATCTAGCTGAAGACACAGCTTAAACATTAAGTATTACAGTACAAGGAGTCTCTGTCACCAAGGATGCTTGCCAGAAAAGTTTAGGCTCACTCATAGTTGCTGTTGCTGCCAGGCACATTCACCAGCCTGACATGACCCAATTCTCCAAAAGATTTTATATATTTATTAACTCGCTGTCTGAAAGTAGGTAGTCTGCCAAGAAGCCAACCAAGGCCCAGCCCTATGCCTGATAAACATCTCTCCATCTGGATTTCCCAAGCTTTTGCAAATGTTAAGCTATTCTCACTTCACAATGTTTGCAACTCTCACAGAAAACTATTTCTATATATAAATATAACATTACTCTGTAGAGAGAAGTGCATCAGAGCCCCATGCTATGAAATGGAGCTGAGGGCTAAAGTAGATTGTACAACCACCACCACCCATACGTTAGTCAAAAATAAAAACCATCACTCCATCTATGAAATGTCACAAAGCCATGAGGGATTGTTTATTCTAAATACTACTGGCACCGATCTACAAAGTGGTTTTCAATGACTATAATTACTAAATGAACTCAAGAAAAGCAAAGACTGCAACTGCCAATTGACAAAACACCCATTGTGCACAGGGAGATTGCTGGCCACTGAGGCAATTAATCCATTTGGTTTGCCAGGGCAGAAGGTAACATTCTTCCACCAGGTCAGAGGTAACCAGAAGCTGAGTGCTGGAAGCACTATGCTCAACAGTCATGTGAGATATCCCAAAAGGTGTTAGTAGTTACAGGATTCAATCTCAGTTCTGGCAGTTGATCCTTCAAAGTAACAAACACCCACGAAATGTCAATGGTCAAAAGTGAAATAGCACGTGTTTCAGAACCGATTTCCTAGCAAGCTTCTTTGTAAAGGGATTGCTGGTGACTTGGAGGGGTGGCTATTTTCTTGGGGGCAACCTATCACTAACAGTTCCCTTTCAGGTCTTTCCAACTGAACTTTGAAATTATAAGCACCAAACAGTTATAGCCAACACATGGCTGATACCAAAATTCAGCTTTAAACTTGTTTGCAGTGATGCACCAAGTCTCTTGCAAGTTGGGGAAAAAAAATATTGCAAGTAATAAAGGGGAAAATGTTATAGCTGATGAAGCATTAATGTTGCTTCCAGTATCTCTCACACAAAAACCATTCCAGCACTACATTCAACCTCTGCTCTAAGAGAAGAGCTCAGCACTGAAATGCCTGCAGGGAAGGAAAGTAGTAAACAATTAGAATTAAATAATTTGGTGACACAGCATTCACTAGTGAAGCACAGTGAAACATCAAATTTCAGAGTTGAAGAAAAACTTCTGGGAAAAGTAGAAGTGTCTATAAGTGGACTGCTACAACCATATATTTCTATAAAATCCAAGGTAAATAGTAAGTCCGCTCAAACAGAATGAGCAAATCACAGATGAGTAGCTAGAAGAAAAAGTTGTACACCATAGTGTAATCACTCATTTGAAAATCCATAAGCGAAGGGCATACTACATTGCAAACATCCTGTGACATGAACAAAAATATTTTATGTAAAAACCTTAACTGTCTTCAGTAACATGGCTGTCCTTGTAAAGGGCAAAGAACAATTCTGAGACAGAACCTGCCACTTGGGATGTGTTCAAAGCAGCAGTCAGATTTTTCAGAACTCAATTGTGACAAATGTCCCTCTCACCAGGCCCCAAACACCCCATCTACTGGTTCAAAACAGCAAAAGAAACAGCAAAAGAATGCCGGGGGGTGGTGGTGGTCATCTCCTGCTCCTCACTTCCCCCACGAGAAACTGTACACACCTGAACACCCAACACCTTCCAGAGCAAGACTCCAGAAACAACAGCACAGATGTAGAATGGTTTGCTTTTAGCTCATCACAAGCACTTAAAAATGGCTCTTACGCTCTCACAACAAACCTTGCTTTACTGCAGGCTCTAAGTTTTTCTAGCAGTAGCAATGTTTTAAAATTTTCATTCTAGTTTATTCCACCTCTGCTGTATTGTAGCAACCTCTTAATACAAGTTTGACACAAACACTCTTGGCCAGAGTAATTTATCTCAAAAGGTAAAGGCTGATTTTTATTTTTTTATTATTATTATTTGTCTGGAAGACACCAGCTTCCTTTGCCCTCATCTTACAGTGGGGAAAAAAGTTTGTACAGGTGAGGCCTATACCATACAGAGAGTACTGTGTGTACAATTCTGCGGTGCCAGGGTCAAAGTGTTTTCTTGATGCAACAGCATCAAAATAACAGACAATGAATAAGTGAGAACATTTGCACATGCAAAAAGGGAAGCAAACATTGCAACAGCAAGCAAATTCAGCTCTTCTACAGTAAATCTAAACTGAAGAACAGTGCCAAGTCCCAAATAGCCATCCGGGAAAAAGGTGAGCTTGAGAATAGTTTTTACCTGTTGATATTCTCTGAATCTGAGCCAGGCAAGCAACTCCATGGCAGCATTATCTTCCTACACCCTATAGCTGTGTATGTACCCAAGTTTGAAATTAAATATTCTGTTGGCAGCAAGGTCCTAGTTCAGTACAGTAAAGCTGCAAAGACAGGAAAAATTGTACGAGTTCAACTGTTACTTTTATTCATGTTGAGTAAATGCCTTTTAGGAGTTGTAACATTTGCCACAGCCACATTAAAAACGGGACTGTATCTATCCACTGAGGAACTTGGTAGCAGCTCAGCATAAATTGCCATCTTTATCCCAGTTCTCCCATCAACAGGCAACAATAGTCACTAAGTAAAAAAAGTAACCAAGTTTAGAAAGCCTTCCCCATTAAACCCTTCACTGAATCCAGCAACTGCACAAGAAAGATACAAGGGGAGGCCTTGGACAGCCTCTTGAAGGACATGATAGATGGCAAAGAAATCAATGGCTGACAGTTACCATACCAGCTGAGCTTTCCAACTGCACTTCTGGCAGTTAAAAAAAAAAAAATCATTTCAGTTTGGGAAAAATTCTGATAAAGAGAATCATGCTGATGAATATAAAACAAACGACAATTAACATTATCCATAATAGCCAGTTGACTGATTTCTTTGCATGCTGTTCAAGGCGGTCAGATTCATCCTTGAGCTTTTCAAAGTTCTGGTCTGCCATCCTAAGAGAATGCGATAGTGTCTGTGGAGCAAAGAGAACAAATGGTTTCAAACTCAGATTTGAAAGTTCTGACCACTATTTCTTCCAGCAGAGAAAAAGGTTCAGTTGCACTACAGCAGAAGACTGGTATTGCCTCCAAGTCTCCCCACTCTTAATCTCATCTGGAATCAAGCTATAAGTATAGTGTTTAACATATTAGCGCTTTAGCCTTCTGGGTTGCAAAACAGCACTTTAACACACACTACCTGGTTATCTTGTTTTATCACATTCTGCGCAGCCAGAGTGTTGTTTTTGAGACTGCGAGCCAAACTTAGCATTTCTTCAGCTAACTTCTCTTGCATATCCTGATGGTGCTGTAACACAGCATCCAGCTCGACTGCTGACTGCTTCTCATTGGACACAAGGCCTCTGCAAGAGCATAAGGGGAAAAAAAAGTGGGATTTGTACTTCCTTGTGGGTCAATCTCCCAAGGTTTCCCCAGACTCTCCAACTCTGACAAGACAGCAAGAACAGTTCAATCAGCTGAAGTCATTCTATTTAGGTTTCTGCCAGCAGGCACTTCACTCAAATGGAAGTGCATCTGTGAGTTAAAGGTCATTGGGAAAGCAGTTCCCAAAACACTGAGCATCAGAATGAGAAATTTTGACTTACTTCCGCTTCCTTATGTTTAACTCCTCAGAATCTGGAAAAAGAGTTAAATTTGTGTTTTAGCATGGTAGAAATTCCCGTGCAATCATAGGCTGAAGAAACAAGTTTTCTGAAGGGATTTTCATATTTTCATCCTACCTGGCCCTCTACCCCAGAGAATACGAATTTCAAATGCTTACCTGCTTTCCACAGGGAAAAGACAATACACGTAAGATCAAACATATGGTGGAGAAAAAAAACCCCAGATGAATCATATCCCTAAGGGCATGGTTTAAGCCTGTGCGTAGTGGTGTTCTCTTTCAGGATGCGTTACATTGGCCTAGCTCCAGCCACTGTAACAGTAGCTATGGAAACCGCAAATTAATTCCAACCAGTTCCCTATGTGAATAACGTGGCTGTATATTTAAAAGGAATTGAACAACGCCTACTCTAAGCGCCTAAAAGTCACGTGATTTACTCAGAGCAGAAGAGAACGGGAACAACAATAAAGGTAAATTGTCCTTGCTAATTCTATAATTAGAATGTCTGTTTCCGTACGAATTCTAGAAAAATAGGTTCCTGCAAGTCCCTGCTTCCACACTGGTAGCAACACTTAGGCATTCATCTGTTAGGGTTTTTGCTTTTGTTTGCTTTTAAAATCTGCTATCTTGAAAAGAAGTGAGCCACTAAATTAGAAGTACACTTTGGCCAGTCTCCAACACCTGGCCTTCCTCTTTCTCTCCCTGTAAGACTTAGGTTAACTAAAGTTAGAGAAAACAACAGATTAAACTTACCATCAATAGCCAAGGGATCCTGGGAGGCAGAAAGAGAAACAAAACAGAGGATTACAGAGGACCAGGGATAAAAAGACAATCCTCCAGGCCTAGCATTAGTGCCCGTACCCAGCACTTAAGACTATCCAAATCAGAAAAAGGGGACTCCCACCCAGGCTGGGACATGTTGGAGGCACAGCCACCAAAGGCAGCTGAACACAACAAGAGACTATCTATAAAATAGCAGTAAAGAAGCAGCAGCACCAAAACATACTGTACCAAGCAGCTCACTCCTCATCTTGCCTGTGCAACGAGCCTTTGTCTGGAGATGAACTGTTTTAGTAGCTGGGGTTCTCTCTTTGGTGGTTGTAGGGGTACGTCCAGGGGCCAGGAATTGATTTGCCAGAGCCTTTTCAGTTGATGAAGTCTGTGAGTAGGAAGAAGCAACGAAAAGCCAGGAATACCACATTCTGCGGTGCGAGGACACCTGGGTGTGTGACCAAGAAGGACGCGGGGAGCACTTCCATGACTGCTTCCCACAGAACAGTCAGTCTGAACAGCAGGACTGACTGTACCTGCACTAATTGGATCACAGCTTATTGGGGTTTCATAGCTCTCCAGACACACGTCAATGCCAAAAAAGGCATTAGGCCTAATGGACACTACCCGCCCCTACACCTCGCATCAAAGAAGTGAGAAGGATGTGCGCAAGGTGTACTTTGCTTTTGAAAAGGAGGAAAGACATTTCAGATTTCATACAATACCCCCTTTTAAGAAAATACAAAAATCCAATATTTTTATTCATGTTTTTACAAGGACTGCTTGATAAGATTTTAACATGTATTATTTTGAGACATAAGATAAAGGCAAACACGGGAGCCAGGCAACGAGGTAGATATAAGCAGGGAATACTTAAAACTTTTCAAACTGAACTAGTAGATCTTACCAATTTTTCAGCTTCTAAAAGTCCCTTTAGGAAGTCCACTTTGCGAGAGTATTCATTCAGCAGTTCTGGTGCAGGCTTGCTATTAAAATTGGAAAAAAAAAAAAAATCATGAAAATCAGAAGTTATCAATATTTTCTATTATAAACCAACATGTGAATCTTCAAAGAAGCATCTTCTAACAGAAGTAGCCCAGGCAAGGAACGAGCTTGCGGGCCCCTGCAAATCACCTTTTCCAAGGCACTGCCAGCATGGGGCACAGGCCAAGGCCGACATGCAGGGAAACGCATCTGAGAACGTGACAGTCACACAGGGCTTAGTTGTGACAACTTTGCGGGCACAGTTTCTCCCTCACCGACAGGTACGTCCACAGGGAAGCATACTACTGTGATAATTGCAGGCTATGGTGATGTTACAGGTAACAAGACTAATGAAAGGGCACTGGCCAGCCCCAGGATTTCAGACAGCGACTCACCCAGACTGCTTCTTCAGCTCGCAGAGCATATCTTCAAGAGCGGCAACATACTGAGAAAAAAAAAAAGTCCTTTAAGTGACAGCATCAGGAAGAAATACTGTGTCTGGCAGAGGCTGCTGCACAGCTGAGAGCAGGGCTGGAGTTTTAACACTCCGTAACACTAGCTTCCTCAGTTTTATTTCGAGGAGCCGAACCGCGCTGCTGCGGGGACGGGGGTGGGGGACAAGGGGCTC